GAAAGACATGACTTCTCCATCTCTCTCCTTGGCAGCTGCTGGGATTTCCACATTGCCTGGACTGTGTTTCTCTCCTAACTGCAACAAAATTGTCCATGGGCTTCCTTTTCATATTCCAAAATTATTTTATTAACAAGACTGAGACCCCTAAAAGGCAACCTCTGTTTCCATGGCAACATCATCATGTTCTAGCGCTCTGACCCTGGAAACCTGGAGAGCAGGCACAGAGGGAACAGGTTGGAGGCTGGCCAAGGTCCAGGTGGAGCACAAAGAGGTGTGCATTCGGGAAGGTAGAGGGGTGTGATGGAGTGTGGGAAACAAAGCCACCGTAGCTCAATTCAAGCCTGGCCCCAAACATGATGCTTGGTTTTTTTCTCTTATGTTTAGAGAGGTTATCTTATAGCCCAGGCTGGCCTTAAACTCTCTATGAAGCTGAGGATGGTGCTGAATTTCTTATTCTTCTGTTTCTGCCTCTCCAGTGCTAGGATTACAAGAATTTGTCACCATGCTCAATCTGTGCATTGTTAGGGTTCTAGCCCAGGGTTTCCTACATGCTAGGCTAGCACACCCCTGACTCCAGCTTCATTTCTCTTACAACATGGCACTGGTACATCGAAGTAGCTAAGACATTGTGGGTGTTTACCCTCAGGCTTTAGCAAAGCCTGTGTGTAACTGCCACCAGACCTGTTTAGGCTTTTTAGGGTTTATGGGTTTTTGTTTTGTTTTACTTTGTTTTGTTTTGTTTTTAAAGTAAGTTTCCACAATCACACCCATCTTAAGGAACTTCTGAGGCATGAAGCCAACTTCACCCCTCAGGTGCTGGGGCTACACAGAGCTGGCCCTGCCTTGCTGCCCTCTAAACAGGAAAGGAAGGCAAGGCCCAGTACCAGAGGCACAGACCAGTGTCCATAGCTCCCAGGAGGGTCCGCTGTCGGGGAGAAAGATGAGTGTTCTCTGAGGAACTTGGGTGCTGTCCTGTCAGAAGCGAGAGGCATGGAAGAGGGGCTGGGCTGCTTGTGAAGTGGATTTTGTCTTTCCAGAATAACACAAAGCTTTGTCCTTGGGCTGGAAGAGGGCACCCTGCCTGGGGCTCCAGCACCTCCAGAGCTTAGAGTGGCTGGTTACCCCTCCTCCATCTCCCAGGCCTTGTCCTGCATTTCCTGTAAACACTGACACTTCCTCCCATGGGACTGGCCTGGCAGCTCCTGGGGCCACACCCAGCTGTCTGACAGAGCCCAGCACACAATGGCTGGCTGGGGCTCCAGATGGCCACTCCTCATCCCAGGCCTATCCAGGGATCCAGACCAATACTGCCTAACAGCCCATGAGCTCTGGCATGGGACAGCAACCACTTTAGACCACAGGGGTAACAGCCCAAATGGATGTCCAAAGCCTGGACTGTACCCTATTCTAGGCATGTGATCTTGGACAATCTTCCTGACCTCGGTAGTGACAGCATGAGCCTGCCTTACTTACTGTGTCACTGGGAGGAGTTAGCTGAGAACATGGTGTTTACTAGAATTCTGAATTTTAAGTGTTAAGTGCAAGCTCATAGACACGGGTCTCTAGGACATCATCCTCCAGGGACCGATCCATCTGGGGTTGGCTTCTAACCTCATAGAAGTTCATGGTCTGTGTTGGGCTGGGACGTTCTCTGCAGTAACTCACCCAGTGACTTTGGCCTACATTTTCCTGCTGTTTCTCTACTTCCTCCTCTCCAAATGGAGCCTGGAGCCCTTGCCCTGCCTGCCATCCCAGGAGCTAATGAGAAGTGTACAGAAAAGCCCGTAGGAAGCTCATGTCTGTGTGCTGCTGTGTAGAGATAACTGGAATTCCCAAACCCACCACCAGCCTCACTTCTCCTGCAGAACCTGAGACCTCCTGACTATCCCATTAAAACAAGGCCACCTAGAGCTTCTAGGCTCTAGTCATGGCCACCGCGCACCTGCTTGGTTTCATTATTCCCTATGACTCTGTGGGTTGGACAGAGGCTGACTGCCATGTCACCAATGATATGATATGGACCTGAGGTAGTTCACTAAGCCTGGTCCCTTTTGATTTGCCTTAGGCCCTAAGTAAGGGCTGAACAGTCTAAGAATTTCACAGTACTTCGAAGCTTTCAAACATTTTCATACATTGCATTTCTGCTGATTCTCATGGCTGGAAGAATGAAGCATGGAAGCATTCTTCAGGCAGCATCACTCCCGACAACAAGAGAGATGAGCCAGAGAGGCCTGCATAAATAGACCAGGACCAGACCTCTGGCCAGATACTGCCCCTGTGTTGGGGAACTCCTATTCCTGCCTGAGCCCTGGAGGATCCTGGACAGCACCCCAGACTACTCTCTGCTGAGGGCATGTTGGACCATTCTCCCTATACTCCAGCGGAGTCCTGGGGGCATTCCTGGGGCCTCCGAGGCTGGGCATATGGAAATAGTTATGAGCTGTGGGGCTAAGTCTGCTTTTTTGGTCAATAATTACTTTGAAATATGGGTTCTGAGAATTCAGCAGCTGGGCCAGCTGGCAGGGTCCTCGCCCCACACACCCAGGACAGACCATGACAATACAAGGCTGGGAAAACCACCCATCCCATAGAGCGCATTCTGGCTCGTGATGAAAGAAAGAGCAACGAGCTGAAAACAAAACCCCAGGGCCAAGCCTCGCCGCCCAGGGCCATCTTTCCACCAGACTTGGAAGACCTCAAATCCCACGTGAAACAGTCTCCTCACTGTGAAGATCATTCCATGCACCCAGATCCAACTAAGGAAACCAGTTTAGTCCTAGCTAATGACTCAAGAGAAAGCTGTGTGAACAAGCCCAGAGCATGAGTTGGGGGAACTTCCCTGACAGAAAGATACCTGAATATAAACAAACAACAGGATGGTGGTCCTGAGTTTCTGCCCCAAGCCTTGCCCAATCCTGTATCTCTCTTTTGACCTCTGAACACCACTTCCCAAGATCTGCTTCAATCAATACTTCCCCTCGGCCCAGTGGGCTGCTACTCCTCAAGATCCTACATCCCTCTTTTGCCTTTGAAACCCTCAGCCCCAGGATCTCTTCACACTCCAGGCTCTGAGTACCCTTGCTTATAAATCCGGGATCTGAACAGGAAACATCTTAAGGTAGTTTTCCAACTGTCAACTGGGCCAGCACAACTCTGCAGTGTTCCATGAGTGATGCCAAGGGACCAAAGACCAAGGACACTTCCAGTAACAGCCTGCATCAAGTGCCCCCAATGCTAACCTCTGAGCCACTGTCCTGTTAACCCCAACGGCAGTTAATAGAACCTCATAGCTTCCTACCAGTCTGCTGATCTCTTCCTAGACTTCCTGGTATGAAGAAACTCCTAGAACCTTTTGGGGTGGAGGAGGAACTGCTGAATAAAACCACGATGACACAACACCACTGTGTGTGGAAAGCTAGAGCTGGAGTACAGCTGGAAACACCTTGCCAGCTGAGCCCAGGACCCAGCACTGCCTGCTGCATTCAGACCTCAGGACTGCTTCCACTCCACTCAACTCCTTGGAGCAGAGGACAGAAGGGAGGACAAAGCCAGCAGAGTGCAGAGGAACCAAACCTTGACTGCCATCCAGGCCCTCCGCAGGACACAACTACAGGGTCCTTCTGCCTTCAGAGTCTCCGTATGGAAGGAACAAGGGATGGATGGAGTAGCAACAGGATTCTGAAAAAGGTCTCTGAGGAACAGGAAAGGGCTAAAACCAAACCTGGAAGCTACAGGCTTTTCTGGAAGAAGTAAGGATTGCATTCTTGGTATCTATCATGATCCAGGAAACATTCAGGCTGAAATCTCTACTGGGGACATTTGTCCTGCTGCCACTTCACACCTGAGGAGGACATCCTTGCTTCAACTAAGAAGGTTACAAGATGTGGGTCACAGGCTATGGCAACTAGCCAGACCACAGTCCTCAGTCAAGAACTCTCAAGAGACAGAGGCCAGCACAGTCTCCTCAGGAGACTTAGGGTCTCCATGTCACTCAAGCACTACACTGAGCTAGCTAGCACTTCATACATACTACCAATCTGGCTCCCTGAGAGTCTTCCTCTCACAGATGAGAAAACTCACGCACGGAGATGGGAAGCTACTAGCCCCAAATCACACAGCCTGTAAATTATAGAAAAGCCATAAATCCAGCTTCCCTGACCTCAGCTTGCACCTTCCTCTAGGGTCTAGTTGTCCCCACAGGGAATTTACATGAATACAGGAATGTCACCCAAGTACCCAGGCTGTTTTTCACCTACCCCCAACTGGATTCCAGATTCTCTCAAGTGAGCTGATCAGGGTGGGTCAAGTGGCATGTCCTTGAATCTAGTTAGAGAAGCTACTTGCAACACGGGGCTTCTCTCTAGGGGTGACAGGAATACTGGGGAGACCTGTTTCAAATGCAGACTTCTGAGTCACATGCCAGACCCAGGGACTCTGTGTTCACGGTGAGGCCTGGTAATGAGTACCTTTGACAATTTTTCAAAGGTATATTAAGGATTAAGGTCACCCAGTAACTGATGAAAACAGATGCAGAGACTCACAGCCAAACACTAAGTAGAGCTTGGGGAGCCCTGTCGAATAGGTGGGAGGGGAGGATTAAAGGAGTCAGAGAAGTCAAGGACACTACAAAAACTCTACAGAATCAATTAACTTGGGCCCATAGGAGCTCATAGAGACTGAACTGCCAAACAGACAGCAAGCATGGGAAGAACCTATGCCCTCTGCACATACATAACAGTTGTGCAGCTGGGTCTTCACAACAGCAGGAGCATAGGCTAACAGGGCTAACTTGTCTAGCCTCAATAGGAGAAGATGCGCCTACTTCTGCTGCAATTTGATATGCCAAGGTGGATTGAAATCCATGGGAGGAGTCCCCTTTTCTGAGGGAAAAACGGAGGACTGGAGGATGAGGGGGAAGAGAGGGGAGAGGGATGGACTGGGAGAAGAGGAGGGAGGGGAAGCTGCTATTAAGATGTAAAGTATAGCTCTTCGGGCTTGGGCTTCGGTTCCGGCGACATGGCTAAACGCACCAAGAAGGTTGGGATCGTCGGGAAATACGGGACTCGCTATGGGGCCTCCCTCCGGAAAATGGTGAAGAAAATTGAAATTAGCCAGCACGCTAAGTATACTTGCTCCTTCTGCGGCAAGACGAAGATGAAGAGACGAGCTGTTGGTATCTGGCACTGTGGTTCCTGCATGAAAACGGTGGCTGGTGGGGCCTGGACCTACAACACCACCTCTGCAGTCACAGTGAAGTCTGCCATCAGAAGATTGAAGGAACTGAAAGACCAGTAGAAGCCCTACCGCCTGAGACTCGCCTGCCCTGCAATAAACGGGTTAATTTACAGAAAAAAAAAAAAAGATGTAAAGTATATACTAAAAAAACTTTTTTAAAGGGATTAAGGAATTCTATACCTGAACAGACTAGGAGAATGGGTTCGAATCCCACCCCGGAACAGTGTAACCTGGGTAACCTACATCTCTTTTCTGGGCCTCAGTTTCTCAGCATGTCTAAAGAGATTGCTTCAAAGATGGGGAGAAGGTGAGAATGCCCTTTGCACACATGTAGGTAGGGATAGAGCCACTTCTAGGTTCCTGCTTCCTTTGTTCTAAAGACTGCCACTTTAGGGGACAGCAGAAAGACCAAGCCTGGCTTCCCAGCAAACACAGCTACATGCCTGGAGGATGGTGTTTTGCAGGCCAGGCCTGCTGCAGAGCCCTAGGCAGAGGACAATCTGCAATGGGTAACTCAGCACCACTCCTGGGAGATTTTCTTAGGTTTCGGTGCTCACAAGCAAAGAGCACAGTGCCAGGGCTCAGCAGGGCAGGTCTGCCAGGGAAGTCCCCATGAATGTACACAGAGGATGCTTTCCAAGTTGTGGGGATCCAGGCACCATGCTGCTGTGCATACTGCAGCCCAACTCACTATTTATGGGGCTTCTACTGTGGCCAAGTTCTGGGGTAGGTTTGGCATGAAGACCTTTCCCTTCATCCAGAGCCATAGACTAAAACAAAACGAAAATCAATCAAGTGAGCTGAGATCCAAGAAGGAAGGGCACCAATTTAGACACTCATTCTTGAAGACGTACCAAGTATTCAGTTCTCAGGGTTTTAAAATTAGGAACACGAAACTTCATTTGATAAATATAACAAATACTTCAAACATATATACATAGTGCCTCGGTTTTCTGTATCCACAGTGGGGAGGAAGCAGAGAGAGGAGGGCATTGCTGGAGCAATCAGCCCATGGTCCTGTAGATAGAGGGGCCAGGCCCTGACACACACTGTCCTGTCCACCTACCCCCTGCCTCATCTTTGCCTCCAATCTAGCATTCAACAGGCAAGATACCCAAGAGTCTAAAAGAAAGAGAAAAAAAAATCTCTGTTTGAGGAGTCTAGTACGGGATGCTCGCACAGGAATTTACCAACTGCCACAAACCAGTGAGGATGGTGGAGCTTGGACAGCTATATAAAAAGAACTGAGTGCATGTGTTTGAGAAGGGCCCAGTGTGCATTCTGGGGAGGGTAGGACACACAGAAGGGGAATCCACACTCTCATTACAAAGTGTGCTCTAGGAGGACGTTGATGGAGACGGTCAGGGTGTGCAGCTGGTTCTCACAGACTGAGGGGGGTGCAGAGAAGTTGAAGAATGGAGGATTGAGGAACCTTCTGGGTGGCTCTAAAGCGCCCTCTCCCCTGAAAGGCCCAGGGAAGGAGAGGTCAGGAAGGGAGTGTGTGTCCTCACAGGCTTGAGAGGCAGTGCAGTACAGCTTAGGTCAAAGCCTATGCCTTCAAGCTTGCTCCTGCTGCTGTGGTGGAACAGGGCCATGTTCACAAGCTTCTGTCCCCCAGGACAGCCATTCCAGTCCTGAGCTCCTGCCATGGAGCAGGTAGTTAAGGCTAGGGATGCCATCCTGAGGCTTGAGGCCTTCCTACGGGTGGTGGAGGGCCTAGCTGGGAATACTGTGAGTTGCTTGGAGGACAACTTGGCTTGTTATGCTCCGGTGTATAAGCTACAGTTTCTCAGGACCCACAAAGCTGCAGCCCGAGCAGAGACACTGTTAAACAAAAGCACACCCCCACACTTGCTCTCTCAGCTGAGCACCCTGCCGAGCAGAGGCTTGAACTAGACATCTGGATTTTAGGAGAACTGATGCTCTTCCAAGGAGGACTGCAGAAAGCATGGCCTGGACCCTGGCACCCTGGAGGACCATGGAACCTCTAGCACCCAGGTGTGATAAGTGGGAAGTGGGGGCCCTCAGTCATATCAGCCCAAGACAGCAATTGCTCTTAGACTTCCTCCCCAATTCGTGCCCTTTCTAGATGAGTGGGAAGGACAGTTCTAGCCATGTCCTTTGGTGTGACTTTCCTTCTATCTTTCTGAAATCTTATCTTTAAGAAAGCTCTTAACTAAGCCTGCTTATCTCTTTCCTCTATCCTTTCTGTGTCTCTAAATTATGAATTATTCACACGACCCACCCCTGTTCATCAGTCTCCCATGATTCCATAAAAACAACAGCAGGGCAGGGTTTAACCCAGCAGTCCTGGCATCCTGAAGCACACTAACCCTGTGGGAACGGAGGAGGCCAGGAATGGAGAGTGGCCATCTGGCACACACATGGTAGTACCCCATAGTGGCAACTTTCTGGTCGTCACTGTCTTTTTGTGTTATTTCTTTTTCTTTTGGGAGGGGTACACAGGGTCTTACTATGCAGCTTTGTAGAACTGGCCTTGAACACACAGACACCCCACCCCAGCCTCTGCCTCCTCAGTGCTGAGATGACAGGTGTACACCACCACTGCTCACTCTGTTTTTCTGCTTATGAATGATCTCAGTGTTGCGAAGTTTCCATCATAGGAGGTCCCACCTGAGCTGGCCCAGGTGATCGCTGGGCATTGGTCCTTCTGAGAGGTACCATGCCAATTTGGGTCACCTTCAACCCTGCCATCTCACTTGTGGAGACAGGCCAAATCCTGGACAAGCAGAGGCTTCCTTGAACGCTCTGAAGAACAGTAAAACTACATCACTATGAAAGAGTAAATCACAAGGTAGAGGTTGTGAGAGACCTTGGGTGCTAAGCTGAGCTTGGCAAAGGGTCACCAAAATACGAGCATGAGTTCTGAGCAGTGTTGTGCTTACTGTGTGCCTGAGCCTGTGCTGGCTGTCATGGCACTGTGACACAGCACACTTGTTTTTATAAGTTGAATTCACACTCCAACAGTAAATGGTTGTCTTAGCGTTTCCACTGCTGAGGAGGGACACCATAACCAAGACAACTCTTAAACAGGACAACAATTTAATTGGGACTGGCTTACAGGTTCAGAGGTCCAGTCCATTATCATCATAGTAGAAAGCGTGGCAGCATCCAGGCAGGCATGGCTTTGGAGGAGCCAAGAGTCGTATATCTTGGTATGAAGGCAGTCAGGAGAAGACCGAATCTCACACACTGAGTAGAGCTTCAAGCCCACCCCCACAGTGATGCACTTCCTCCAACAAAGCCACATCTACGACAACAAGGTCACCCCACCTAACAGTGCCACTTCCCATGAGCCAAGCATAGTCAAACCATCACAATGGTATAGAACAGAAAACATACTAACCAGGAGGTAGCCATAGAGCCCCAGTCCAAGCAGCAGTATGCACTGTTCACATCAGCATCGCCTCAGACACACGAATGATGTGTCATGCTAGGACAGCCATTATATAACCAGAGAGGGAACTTTTCAGCTCCATTAGAATCTTAGGGGGGCACCAGCATAAATGGGGTCCATTACTAGAAGAATTATATGATATATCACTGCTGTGTACCATTACCTACTGCTGATCCATCTGCAGAACTCACTGTCACCTGTCTTTCCATTCTGTTGCTATGACGAAACGCTCAGACCCAAAACAACTTGGGGAGGAAAGGGCTTATTTTGCAGTTCATCACTGAGGGAAGTCAAGGAAGGAACCCAAAGCCTGGAGGCAGGAACTGAAGCTGGACTGTAAAGGACAATAGCTTACTGGCTTGCTTCCTGCATCTTCTGCTCAGTGTACTTTCTCATAGAGCTCAGTGGCATGGACCCTTGTCCTTCAATCAGCAAGCAGTCAAATGTCCCACACACATGCCCGTAGGCCAATCGGTAGGAGGTGATTTTTCAACTGCTGTTTCCTCTTCTCAGATGTGTCAAGTTGACAAGCAAGAATAGGCATCGTAGTGAGTTCATTCTACAGGTAGACAATCGTCAAGTGAAATAAGTGAAGGCCCTGGATGCATGACACAACTATGTCCATGCTAAATGCCCCATGTATGTTCACATCCTACAAACAGTCTGTGTCCACGTGGTGGGTTTGTTTGCTTTTCATGTTCAGCTTCAGATATACATTGTATGTTAAGTATTGGGGGTGGAACTCAGTGCTTCAAAACTGCTAGGCAAAGTGCCTTTCACTGAGCCACTGCATCCTCAGCCCCTTTAGGGTTTCTTATTTGTCTGTTTTCCTTAAGATTCTGAGATAATGTCCCACTGTGTAGCTCAGATTGGCCTTGAACTTACTCTGTGACCAGGAAAGACTTGTGAACCCCATCTCAGCTTCCCTGAGTAACCACAAGCCCCAGTCCAAACATACTTTAAATGTGTACAAATATGCTAGAAAACTTTAATGTTTTCGGGCAATGTAAACCTGGCAATGAGTAGATATCCATAGGTAGTTAAGTAGCATCCACGCAGCCGATAAAAAGAACAGGACAGAGCTATGTGGCCTGATGGGACATGAGCTCTACAGTGACAGAGTCATCTCCAGAGAGAACATCCAACATGTTTCTGTCAGTGTCTAGAAAAAAGGAGAAGAGGGCTCAGTGGTTAGGAGCACTGACTGTTCTTCCAGAGGTCCTAAGTTCAATTCCTAGCAACTACATGGTGGCTCACAGCCATCTGTAATGGGATCTGATTTCCTCTTCTGGTGTGTCTGAAGACAGAGCACTCATATATATAAAATAGAGAACTAAATCTTAAAAAAGAAAAAAGAGGAAGGATATATATACCTAACAGGTACAGTGTGTGTGTGTGTGTGTGTGTGTGTGTGTATGTGTGTGTGTGTACACTCGTGCACACACACACACACATGGGTGTGGTGTAAACTCCAGGGTATGCATATGGGCATATGGAAGTCAGAGGACAACTCTTGGAAGTCCATTTTCTCTCACTATCTTGTGGGATCTTGGATTAAACTTGGGGCACCAGGCTTACACACAAGTGCTTCTACCCACTGGGCATTTTTGCCAGCCCACACATGATCTATTATGAACGATTTAAAATATTTTCTGCACCAAATGGTCTAGACTATCTCAACAGTACTCGGGAATCCCAGCCATTGAGA